GCGCCTACATTCTTTGACGAGTTGCCTCCCCCCCCTCTTCTTTCAGGATTACTGAAAGACCGAGTCACTTGAGAGCTACTGCGTGAGGGGATAGAGGACAAACGTAGGTCCTGTCCGGCCTTCTCCAAAGATTTCAAATTTTTCGCCCGCTCACCTAAATCTGGCCCGAATAAGAACTCCCCTGGTAAGGTGTTTTCAGTCAGTTCTTTAACTGATTTGTTGAGTACTGGGCTGATCAGGTACTTTCTAGTTTTAGAGATGTCGTGAAAGAGTGCCGCCAAGATTCGCGCAGAATCTGTCAAATTCGATAAAATCTTTTCCTTGGTATCCTTGGGAATCTGGGTTTCTTCTTCCAAAATGACGTTAAAAGCTTTCCCCATGGCGGTCAGTCCGGTACCAATGTTCAATTGGTACCCGGAATGGGTGGCATCTCTCGTTAAATGAGTAGAAGAGAGAATGGCTTTCACTTCGGGGTTTATCTTCGGAGGGTGTAAAGAGGCACAGTTAGAAGGCACAATGTGTTTTTCTCTAATGATGGTGGTGTCCTCGGTGGAAAGTCCGTTGGCCAAAATGTGGGACCATCGAGAAGCTAAGGCACCGTGTAGTTGGAAGTTAGACCTATTGGCTTTTTTAGGATCTACACCCAGGATATTTAATATGTCTTCCGATAATGGGAGACACTCACCTTCACTAAGCATCAAAACATCCTCCATATCATTTTTCTCAGTTGGTACCGTTCCCAAGTCCGGCCCTGTCAGAATCTGAGCTTCCGCCTCGCACGGAGAACGGCCAGCCGAGTCTACCTGACGCTGTACCTTATCAGATGGGCTGCCTGAGTTTTTCTCTTGACGCAAATATTCCCGTCTCTCTCTACGTCGCCTCGACACGCTCGGTGATCGACTGCGACTGTTACTACTCCTAGAATGTGACCTTGAACGCCTACGGCTGATGCGAGAGCGGGAGCGTCTAAAATGATGAGGTGAATTGGTACGAGACATGGATCTGCTGTGTCGACTCTTTCGGGATAAACTTCTCGAATTAGTGCGAGAACGATAACCACCTGACCTTGCCTCGAGCTCCTCCTGTAAAATGGCCCGAATCATGTCTCTCAAGGAGCTGGGTGAATTGGCCTCCGAAATTCCTGATTTTTCCATGGTTTCTGTTAAACAAGTATAACCATTGGTTAACGTATTCAATCTGGTTGAATACGCCAATCAATTATGTAACAGACTGCTAAGTGGTATCAAAAAGAATAGCCTTGTTGTGAACTTACCTACCTACTCACTGAGCACTATGTACCGAAAAGAGAAATCGCACGCGTTTTCTGAACTGAAGCAGGCCGGGCGACTGCACGGATCGCGCACCAAAAAGCGAATGATTCAACGCGAGTGGCCAGGGCGCGGCGAGGAGGTGGGGATTCTCGTCTTTCAACTTGGTGCGCGGATCGTACTCCAGGGGCGGACTACATAGTGAATAAACAAAGTGATGTCTTCGGACTGGACCCAAAGTATAATTAGCAGCAAATCCTTTTACTTTCTGGTGTGGTGTGCGGTGATCGTGACTCTGGTTTTGGCGGACGTCTTCTGCTCGCCGGCACACGGCAATGACGGCGACCTACCCGCAGGTTATTCACCTAGATCATGGTCGCCGATGGCGCGTCACTGCGAAACCTAGAACTGGCCTCGCAATTAGTGGAAATACGCGAATATAACATGAAACAAGTCAGAATGGTGATTTATGCCGCAGAACCTTGCATTTCATTCTGACGCGAAACTTTGCACACGATAGGGTTCCTATGGTAGGTTGAAATCAATTAATAGCTATAAAAATGTATTGTCCAAGAAGACAAAGGTTAAGTTGTGTGACTTCCCCATCCAACTTCAATAGGGGGCCTTGTCTATGGACCATAGTCTATCGCAGAGCGAGGCATATAGACTTATATATTATAGACAAAAAGTGCAAAAAACCTGCATAAGATGCAGTTTAGGTATTCAAACGCAGGAGAGAACATCTGATCAAAAATATTCATTGCGACAAAGATGGATACTGCATCTATTGTCACTGACCCACAGTATTTTGATAAATAAAATGCCAATTTATCTAAAGGACAACCTTACCATGAGTTGTGATCATCACATCCTTGACTTGCCTCGGCGCCAAACAACAGAATTTAGAAAGAGCTACTCATTTTTGGCATTCGATTTGTACAATAAAGTACCTCAAGCTTTGAAAACTCCACCTCTCTCCAGCTTTAGAAGAAAAATTAAGCTATCTATCTTCGATACGTATTGTGCTTATATGAATATGCGTGTATTTATGTATGTATATATATCCTCCTGTTTTACAACTTATATACTTGCTGTATCTGCTTTTATTGAATGATAATGTCATGAGTTGATGTTTTTCTGTTTAATTCGAACATCTGTCTTTTGTCAGACTTCTTTTTGTATTAATTTTTTTTCTTTTGACTTGTGTAAACACGCTGGTTTACTCGACACAAATAAAGAATTGAATTGAATTGAAGAATTGATAGCATGTAACACGCATTTTTGCACTTTTTTTTCATACTAGCTGACCCGCCAAACCTAGTCCTGTCTTAGCTATGCACTGGTATGAATAACGATTTAAAAAAGGTTAAATATTTATATAGAATATAGGTAATTGTACAGCGAAGAGTTTTTTTACCGCCATGTGGCTAGCAAAATACGTTGGCAGCACTGCCATTCCTCCATCAAATTACCTTTAAAGTAGGTATAAAATTATGCCCCGAATGAATTTTGTTGCCCCAAATGACGTCATTTGAAAGCAATTATTGTATTGCTGGACATGAATCAAAAAATGTATAGAATCTAGCCCATTTCTGGAAACCAGTGAATGTAGTGACTCTGGTGGTGGTGCCAATGGAGTCAATTTGATCTTTCAACGAGGCCATCGAGGTCAGTTCAACGTTCATTGATCCAATAGCAACGATTTGTTGTGGACTGTAATCGATTGCAACGTCATAATTGAATGCAGCTCGATTGGGATTAAATTCGACACTTCTACGTTGTTGAATGTCAGGCCTTCGATCCGTTCAACTTCATTTCTCGCTTCTCGTTGCTCGTCAGTTTGACTTCTTCGTATATATATTTCACTTGCAGCATTGCAAGTTCTGCGGCCTAGATTGGTACGTCTAATTGGTGGCATTTTGAAGGATCACAATTTTATCATAAGGCGTGATTGCGGTGAACTTCCACCCTTGTTATTTATTTTTGAACAAATGATTCTCAAAAAACTCACTGAACAACTGAAAACTGGAGAAAATCTCTAATTGAATGGACTGTGCACTACTATTAAAATAAAACATTTTTTCATCGATAAACACTGTTAAATGATGAGTATTAAAATTCACACAACTAGAGTCTAATGCCTGAGATGTCTGCTAGATGGCGTAATTCTAACATCGACACACAAAATTGAGGTTTACTTAAAAAAATGTGTAATTCACATGTACCGAGTATCCAAAATAAGGAATGTCTATGGGCTAATTGTATAGACCTGTTTGACTGACTTTTTCCCAGAAGGTCAACTTTGTGCTGAACTTGATCCTTTATCCTTTCTTGACATGCCATATAGTAATTGAGAAATCAAGCTTCGCGGTGTTCAAACGTAAATATGACCAAAACGAGTAATCTGACAAAATCTCCTAAAGTGATAATATTCATGGAAAATTGAATGGCATTTTACAAAATGCACTTCTTTTCTCCGAAAATATTTCCTATTAGGTGTCCAGGTACCCCAGTTTCTATGTCCCTGGTTTAGTTTGAACAAGGAAACTCTGTGCGTTAATTGCTGATGATGTGCTCTCTAACCGTCTAACTAGATATAATTTTTTTCAATTTCGTAAATAAAACTTCATCACCCTATGTCTCGGTAGTGAAGCATCTTTTTAACCATATTTTAAAAACTTTTCTTGATATTTTTGGATGTACTTCCTACCCTAAAAATTTTGGCACATCTTTCTGAAAACCGCTGTATATTATAATGTTTATCGGCTATGCTGAGCATGCTTTGATAGGTTATGTTCATTGACAGTCCACTTAGCAGATATTCACTAGCTGAGCTATTCGCTGGATACGTGATGATAACGCAACTTAGCGGATATCGGACTGAAATATTTGTTCTTGTAGGTATTCATGAAAATAATTTATATTTGGGGTTAGGAACAATTTGAATTTCAAACTGATGATTCTCTTTTGATCTGGCAAATGATGACAGCTTAATAAGTTTATCTTTGCCAGGCCTCATTTGACCCCATGTGACACATTTCACCGTAGAGACCACGACTGAAATTCAATATCAGTCCTACGGTATTTCATTTTTATCCGATTCAGTTCCCCCCACTATGAACTTCGCTCCCGGTGGATAGAATATTTCACACAACGCTTGATGGTGAATGATCCGATCTGTACACGTGGCGATGAGAGAGCAGATCTTGAACATCTGACTGCAGCTTCCTCAATCTCAGGGCCGTCAATCAGTTCATGATCACACCAATAAACTATCCCAAAAACATTAGAGATAGATGTGTACCACGTCAATACATCCAAATGGCTTTTAAATGTACGTGCATGTGCCGATCTCAAATTTAAATTTCGATCTCCGCGACATGCATTTACGTCTGGTAAGCTGCAATTAATTTATTTAAGAGGCACTTACAATGAACAGACTACTTTATATGCCAACTGTGACGTTGCGTAAGTTTTATGACGGTCTATGTCCCGTGGATATATACAAGCTGTCTGTAGGTTCAAAATCGGGTCAAACATTGGCGCCCATTCAAAACAGACTAACTACGAGGGAAGTCTTTTAAGTTTTGCATATAGAAACATAGGCCGCGCGGATCGAACGTCAGTACTGAATCTTAACCTCACTCTTTAGTAAACTTAAATTCAAAGTTTCACAACAATACATGCAGTGTTCTCACTACAGTGAATTTTTAAGTGTCACCAAGTCATTAGAAAAATGGAACTCAACCGAGAACATTTTCGCGCCATAATTTATTACAACTTTCAAAGACAATTATCGCAACAAGAATGCCTTGCTGAGTTACTGTCTGTTTTCGTCAACGAAGCGCCACATTAGTCGACAATTTCCCGTTGGTATGAAGAATTCAAACGTGGACGGGTGAGTCTTAGCGACGATCCCAGGGTGAGTGCACCAAAAACGGCAGTCACCCAGGAAAACGTCGATGCTGTGCGCAAACTCATCATTGAAGATAGACATGTGACATATCGCGAGATTGAGGCGTCCTTGAAGATCCCAAAGACCTCAATTCAAAAAATTTTACATGAAGAATTAGGAGTAAGAAAATTAGTTTCTCGTTGGATACCCCCCTTGAACGCTTGACCGTTTCAATTCCGGAAACTCAATAAATGTGTACAGCATTGTTAATGGTGATGATACGTGGATCTACTGTTATGAACCAGAAAATAAACGACAGTCAGCTGTTTGGGTGTTCCAAGGTGAAGAAAAGCCAACAAAAGTCATCCGTTCTCGAAGTGTTTCGAAAAAGATGGTCTCGACATTTGTGTCAAAAGCGGGTCATATTGCAACAATTCCTCTTAATGAGCAAAGAACTGTTACTGCGAATTGGTATACCACCATTTTTTTGCCAAAAGTGATCACCGAGCTTCTAAAAATCAACCCCGAAAGAAGAATCATCCTCCACCAGGACAATGCAAGCTCGCACACAGCCCAAAAAACATGGCAGTATTTAACAGAAGAAAACGTGGAATTATTGGACCATCCTCCATATAGTCCCGATCTAAGTCCTAACGATTTTTTTACTTTCCGGAAAATTAAAAACAGACTGCGTGGTCAAAGGTTCCAGTCACCAGAAGAAGCAGTTGATGCATTCAAAAATGCCGTTTTGGATCTGCCAGCAAACGAGTTGAATAAGTGCTTCGAAAATTGGTTCGAGCGCATGCAGATGTGTATTAATCTCCGTGACTCATTCATTAAAGAGATAGTAAAAGCCGTATTGTTGAGAAGTCGAATGCGCTCAGAGCGATTTTCCTTGTTTGTCTGGTCTATAGGCTTCATGTTTGTACGTATATTTTGGACTACAAAAATGTCATTTTTCTGGCTTTAAATGCCACGAGATGCTGGCTAACCCTTATTTATTTATTTATTTAGCAGCCAAAGCAAATTACAGGATGAATAAACATGAAAATAAAAGAAATCAATGCATTTAAGTGGAGGATGTGTTGTAGAGAAAGCTGGAATGATGAAATAATCCTCAAACTGGAAAATTTATGCAAGAGTTAACGAAAATAAGTATTAATGTCTCCCTAAGTCGTACACAACGAGCATATATCTAAAACGCTATTAACTGAGTTATGATTACGTTACATTATATATATATACAGGGTGGCCAAACACGTGACGTCATAAAAAAAAAATTAGATTCCCCACATCGAGAGGAACCCAAATCACCCCCATATATATGGTCCGATTTTGTTTAGTTTAGGAGTTATGATTTTTTTTCGGATTTTTCGAGAATTTTTGAGTTCTGTGTTTATTTTTACCATAACTTCGTTAATAATTGTGATAAATGCCTGCTTTTTTCACGATTATGTAGCTAAGACCTAAGGCTTAACTATCATATAATCATTCAAGTCATGTAACTAATACTACTTTTTAATTTTTTTCAAAATCTTCGAACATAACAAAAAAGTAAAAAAGTGCAACAACTTTGAACGTTTATAAAAAATTGAAAAAACATGTTCTTACTATTCGTAAGTATCTTAAAAACTTCCTTACGGTATCAGCTATTTACCGTAGAAATTTCATCAACCTAGCTTTACTACATGCTACCGTAATTGTGGCTCAAATAGAACCGAACCCAAAATTGGATAACCCTCTGCTCAATAGAAATTGTTAGTTTCGGAAAAAAAATTTGCAAAAACCACAAAAACACGTTTGATTTTTTCTGAACAGCAGATTATTATTCATTTATGTTATTTACAAGAGGTTTTCAAAATGTCTGCCTCTAACAGAAATGCACAGTGTACACCTACGTATGAAATTTTGTTTTAAATCTCTAAATGCTTGTGTGTTGTTTTTCAACACATGTGTCGCTTCTTGAATTTTGTTCCTCAATGAATTTTCATTTGCACATTCTTGGGCGAATGTTATGTCTTTAAAATATCCCCAAACAAAAAAATCAATTGGGTTGAGGTCAGGGGAGCGTGGAGGCCATCGTATCGGTCCGTTTCGTCCGATCCATCTGTCTGGGAACCTTTCGTTTAAGTAGTTTCGCACGATCGTTGCGTTGTGGCATGGTGCACCATCATTCTGGAACACCATGATCCGTCTGGCTTCCAGGCTTGAATCTTCCAGCAATAATGGTAGGCTATTTTCAAGGAAGCTTTTGTAGGCTACCGAATCCAACCTTGACGGCAGTTCAAATGGACCGATAAATTCCATATTGAATATTCCTGACCACATGTTCACACTAAAACGGTGTTGATATGTCGACGGCCTTGAGTGGTGGGGGTTTTCAACAGCCCAAGTATGTAAATTATGGATATTGAATATCCCTGTTCTTTCAAAACGTGACTCGTCAGTCCATAAAATTTTATCAAAAAAATCGGGATCCTCTCGTTGTCTTCGCAGCATTGTCTCGCAGAAATCCACTCTTAACTGGTAATCTGAAGGCATCAACGCTTGAACTCTTTGAACATGATAGGCATGATAACCTTCTTCATGAAGAATATTTTGTATCGATGTTCGTGGTATTCTAAGGTTTTGTGCCATAGATCTCGTACTCGTTGAGGGATTCCGGCTAATTTCTTCAAGTACTACTTCTCTGCGATCCGGATCAGCTGTAGGATATCCTTCATTGCTTCCTCGTCCTGGAATGCGGCCTGCCATGAAAGTGTTATGTGTGTTAATAAAAACACGGTGGTCTGGGTAATGCTCAGCTGTACCGGGAACAACTTATACGCCGAGGCGGACCACAACCTGAGCATTACCCAGACCACCGTGTTTTTATTAACACACATAACACTTTCATGGCAGGCCGCATTCCAGGACGAGGAAGCAATGAAGGATATCCTACAGCTGATCCGGATCGCAGAGAAGTAGTACTTCAAGAAATTAGCCGGAATCCCTCAACGAGTACGAGATCTATGGCACAAAACCTTAGAATACCACGAACATCGATACAAAATATTCTTCATGGAGAAGGTTATCATGCCTATCATGATCAAAGAGTTCAAGCGTTGATGCCTTCAGATTACCAGTTAAGAGTGGATTTCTGCGAGACAATGCTGCGAAGACAACGAGAGGATCCCGATTTTTTTGATAAAATTTTATGGACTGACGATTCACGTTTTGAAAGAACAGGGATATTCAATATCCATAATTTACATACTTGGGCTGTTGAAAACCCCCACCACTCAAGGCCGTCGACATTTCAACACCGTTTTAGTGTGAACATGTGGTCAGGAATATTCAATATGGAATTTATCGGTCCATTTGAACTGCCGTCAAGGTTGGATTCGGTAGCCTACAAAAGCTTCCTTGAAAATAGCCTACCATTATTGCTGGAAGATTCAAGCCTGGCAGCCAGACGGAACATGGTGTTCCAGAATGATGGTGCACCATGCCACAATGCAACGATCGTGCGAAACTACTTAAACGAAAGGTTCCCAGACAGATGGATCGGACGAAACGGACCGATACGATAGCCTCCACGCTCCCCTGACCTCAACCCCATTGATTTTTTTGTTTGGGGATATTTTAAAGACATAACATTCGCCCAAGAATGTGCAAATGAAAATTCATTGAGGAACAAAATTCAAGAAGCGACACATGTGTTGAAAAACAACACACAAGCATTTAGAGATTTAAAACAAAATTTCATACGTAGGTGTACACTGTGCATTTCTGTTAGAGGCAGACATTTTGAAAACCTCTTGTAAATAACATAAATGAATAATAATCTGCTGTTCAGTAAAAATCAAACGTGTTTTTGTGGTTTTTGCAAATTTTTTTTCCGAAACTAACAACTTCTATTGAGCAGAGGGTTATCCAATTTTGGGTTCGGTTCTATTTGAGCCACAATTACGGTAGCATGTAGTAAAGCTAGGTTGATGAAATTTTTACGGTAAATAGCTGATACCGTAAGGAAGTTTTTAAGATACTTACGAATAGTAAGAACATGTTTTTTCAATTTTTTATAAACGTTCAAAGTTGTTGCACTTTTTTACTTTTTTGTTATGTTCGAAGATTTTGAAAAAAATTAAAAAGTAGTATTAGTTACATGACTTGAATGATTATATGATAGTTAAGCCTTAGGTCTTAGCTACATAATCGTGAAAAAAGCAGGCATTTATCACAATTATTAACGAAGTTATGGTAAAAATAAACACAGAACTCAAAAATTCTCGAAAAATCCGAAAAAAAATCATAACTCCTAAACTAAACAAAATCGGACCATATATATGGGGGTGATTTGGGTTCCTCTCGATGTGGGGAATCTAATTTTTTTTTTATGACGTCACGTGTTTGGCCACCCTGTATATATATATCTTTTTACTTAGCCAGGCCTACGACTGACATACCTACGAGTATATAGATATACCTGTACAGTGCTTTTCTTTAATGTCCGTCTCCCCATTGATTTTTTGAACGGATCAATTCAAAAAATTTAAACTTGAGGTAATGAAATTGATGCGTGGACCATATTTTAGAGTAAAATTGACAGATGAAAATGTCAAGATGGCCGCAGGGCGCCCTCTTGGAAAAAAAAATATATGAAAACGGGGGTCTTGTGGCACATCATTTTGAAACTCCTGACGAGTACTTTATAACCCTAGAATATAAAGTCAAAACCTTTACCTACTACAAAATGGTGGTACATTTAATAATTACCTGAATACATTGACATTTAACTTGATAATTCGAATAAATGCGTTGAGTTCAGTTTAGAAGATGCTGGAAATGGTTGCCTTGAACTTCTTGACACAATGACAGCCGGTCCGTAATTTCCCGTCGAACATTTTCAAACAGAGTAAGATCGATATTTTTACAAATATTTAAATATTGAAGCATGTTCAGTTTCGTACACCTTTTGCTTCAAATAGCCCCATAAAAATAAGTCTAAAGGTGTCAAATCTGGCGAGCGAGCTGGCCATTCCACAGGACCTTGACGGCCAATTCAACGACCGGGGAAATTGTTATCTAAATAATTCCTAAAAGGTCAAGGGTAGTGTGGTGGAGCACCATCTTGCTGGAATACAATATCAGTATCGAATTCATTAGGATTCGCTTCGACGATTTCGGTGATTAGAGGGTCAATAGTATTTTACAGCATATCCAAATACAGTTATCCGGTGAGTTTGTTCGATGAATAGAGGCCCCACAATATGATTTCCCAATATCCCAGCCCAAACGTTAATTTTTTGTGGATATTGAGTATGAGTTTCCCGGAAGACGTAAGGATTGGTGTCTCCAATAACGACAATTTTGTCTATGCATATTACCGTTGAGAAAAAATGTACCTCCATCACTAAAACAAATATTTTGGATATAGGTAGGATGCCGTGCAATGGTAAGTCGGGTCCGACAAGACATCGCAGCCGACTAGAAGCTGCACCACGACAACGCCCCGTCTCACACCGCCTTTCTTGTGAACAGCTACCTGACCAAGGCCGGCATCCCAACGCTTCCGTAGTCGCCCTAAAGCCCAGATGTGCCCTCCCCCCGGACTTTTTTTTGTTTCCTCACCTGAAAAGGCCGATGAAAGGCAAGCATTTTGAGACGACAGAGGGGATCGAAGCAGCATGCACCGCGGCTCTCAAGGCTATTCCGGAGAATGCCTTCCGTGACGCCTTCAATGCTTGGGAATCGCGCTGGCAGCGCTGCATCGGCGCAGAAGGACCCTATTTTGAAAGTTTTTAAAGAATTGTAACGATTGACTCAATAAATTTTTTTAAAT